ATTATCAAGCAGTACAGGGCTAAAGAGGGACTCAAGACCCAACTAGGCACTTATCTCTAAATCTAATCCATTAACCAATCTATTTTGGGAGCATTTTACAATATAACCAAAAAACCAAACTCATTGTCGTTGAGTCGATCCCGACTCATAGTGACCCTACAGGACAGAGTAGAACTGCCCCATAGGGTTTCCAAGGAGCAGCTGGCAGATTTGAACTGCCAACTTTTTGGTTAGCAGCCAAGCTCTTAACCACTGTGCCAAATATAGTCAGTTAATAATTCACCAGATTATATGAACAATCTACCCTTCTATATGTTGATACTGGCGGCAAAGTATAAATGGACATCATTGATTCATTAATAACAAACACAATAAGTAAAAAAGGACTCACATAGTAAGGCACAAAGAAGCAGACTAGACTTTGATAAAAGGCATCAAACAAGGTGATCCAGAAGGTCAGGGGTAAGTATGCCTGGAAATGAAACAGATACGTGGGAGAGTTTAAGATTAACAACGGTCAAATCAAAGTCAAGGAACAATATGAGTAAACACTTGACTTTTCACTCAAAGACAGGTGGAATTTGTCAATAGTGGTAGGAAGAATGACGGGTGGTAATAGAGCGAGAAGGGTTTACAGGTGAATGTGGTGAAAAAAATCTCTCAATAAACTCTTCCTCAACTTCCCTTGCCTTTCTCATTGGATCAATTTTAAAATTTAAGTGAAATAGTGCTACTATTACTAAAATTCCATATCCTATAGATCAAAAAGTATTGTTTCAAAAGCTTCCCCAAATCCATTCATTTCTCTCCATCTCCACTACTCTTCTCATTCCAAGCCATCACCAGCTCTCTCTAGAAATAACTGAATAACCATCTAACTGGCCTCTTTGATTCCCCTCCTACCACCAATCCAATCTTCCAATAGCTGCCAGACGATTTAAAAAAATGTAATTTAGGCCATGTTATCCTCCTAACTAAACAAATTAACCCATTTTAATTCCTTCAAAGACTTCCCACTGCATTTCCAATACAAATGGATTTCCATTGCAATTCCTTCCCATGGCCTATAAGGTCCTGCATGGGGTGCCCACTGCACAGCTCTCCAGAGTCACCTCCTACCATTGGGATCCTCACTCACTATGTTCCAGTCACAAAGGCCTTCGTTCTATTCCTCATAAATGCCAAATCCATTTTTGCCTTGGAACTTTACTTTCCAGGAATTCTCTCTTCCAGGATTTCTTTGACCTGGACCTCCCACATAACCAGCTCCTCAGTCCTGGTTCAAATATCACTTGCTCATAAAGACAGTCCTGGGCCAGTCTAAGAGGTATAGCCACCCAATCACTCACTACTACCATGGTACTGTTAGAAGTCTCTCATCACCATCGGAAATAATCTTATTTGTTTACTGATTTTCTGGTTCTCTTACCAGAATATAAGCTTCAGAGAGTGGGTCTTTGTCTCTTTTATCCACATGACTAAAACAGTGTCTGATGAATAGTAGGTACTCAACAAATATTTGTTGAATTAATAAACTATTCTTACATAACTTGAATGTGCAAAAATGTTTTCTCCCCAGAGAAAGAGAAGGATCAAGTAGAGACACTAGTCAAGTGATTGAAAACAGTTTTCAAAACAAGAGCCAACTCTGATTGAATGGTAATGTCTGCTAGGAGATGTGTGTAGAAGGATTCCGAGGCTGCATTCAGACCAGAAGGAAAGAGTGCTGGGATTTATTAGTGATCCCTGCCATGCGTAAAATGGCAGCACATGTATCGTATCCCTGAGTTAGTCATTTCTTCCTTAACGTGTTCTTTTTAGT